AAACATGAATGATATAAAATAATACAGTATATTAAACAGCAGCATAAAGTCAATAAATCAGCAGCATGGATAATCAGCAGCACAAATAAAGTGATAAATCTCCAATTAAAGTGGCATTACAGGAGCTATTCAGGTTAGGGATTTATGAGTCTAACAGCTTCAGGGTAGAAGCTGTTCCTCAGTTTAGTGGTTCGACACTTAATGCTCCTCAGCCTCCTTCCTGAGGGGAGCGTGGGCAAAAAAGTGTGCGTGCTGGGTGAGTGAGGTCCTTCATGATGCAGGTGTCCCTCTTCCTACATCTGGATGTGTAGATGTCTGTGATGGGGAGGCTGACTCCAACAGACTTATTTCTGTGCAGCCTTCACCACTCTCTGCAAAGCTTTTCTTTCTGCAGCTGTGCAGCCTCCATGCCACACTTTGATGCTGGAGCACAGGATCCTCTCCACTGCACACCTGTAGAAGGAGGTGAGGACTGTGCTTCGCAGACCAGCTCGCCTCAGCTGCCTGAGGAAGTAGAGTCTCTGATGAGCTTTCTTGATCAGACTGGTGGTGTTGTTGCCCCACTGAGGTTGTCGTTCAGGTGCACACGCAAGTATTTGTAGTACTTGTGGAGACCACTTCCACCGCAGATCCTTCTATGTTAGTGTGTGTGTGGGGGGGGGGGGCGGGTTGTTCCTTCTGATGACAGAAATCTTAATGTTTGTTTTAATAGTTTTACTCAAGTTCTGTTTGACTGCATGCCAATGATTAAATGTTGAGTCGTATGTTGATGCATCAGGACATTTTCCACTTTCGGACCTTTTATGTTTGCTAACATCAAACTATAGAAAAAGGTGCAAAAAATCTGAGGGCAATACATTTCAGCCAATTAACTAATTTCATGACGGTAATTTAAAAGTGCAAGAATTCTGTTTTCTTCTCACATTCATAAAGAAATATTCATCTTTTAAAATGTTTTGCTGGTTTGCAGGCAAGATGGATATTTTTCCGTAAGTTGACTCAAACGTTGTCAGATGCCAAAACAAATTAACATTGCAGCTAATAAAGTGCAATTACAACTCGAAGCTGCAAAGCCTGAGTTGCTATGACCTCTAAATCTTGTTTATTTTATGCTGCCATAAAATTGCATTGGCATTTTTTATGCAGACTAATTTGTGGGAGAAATAACCTGCTTTTGCACTTTGCCCTAATCATGGAATTATAGACATGATGCCTGTTTGTATATGGAATATGAAACTGTAGCTGGAATAGTCTTTAACCTTTTGAACCATGAATAAATTGTTGCATGGAAGAAAGGCTATGGAAGTTTTTTTTTAGTTTTTATTATTCATTTTATGTATAGAGCGTGATAAAAATAAGTGTACAACCTACTAAGTACTTTGAAAGGATTTTCTGCAGTGCACCTTTTCCTCCAACATATTTGTTAATTCCCAGGGCCTGGTTTTAAAACTTCTGTGTATTAAAGAATGTCAGAGTAAATATAATCTATTAGTGAGCCAGTATGATGCCTTTTTTAAATCTCAAGATAACTGAGAAATGTCAATACATCCATCAAAAGTGTCTCAAAACTTTTTTAAAGCTGACCTAAAAGCTCTGTAATGGAGAATAGCCATTACCTAAAGGTTTCTTGATGACATCCCTATGAGATTTACACTCTGCAACTGTTGGAGTTGTTTTGCATTCTTCTGATTTCAATCAATCAGAGCTGAACGGATAATTTAAGATTGTGATTTTGCAGAATGATATTATCATTATTTAACAAAGAAAAGCCATCCATCCATTATCTTTACCCGCTTCCTCCTTTCGGGTCGCGGGGCTCATTGGTGCCCATGTTCAGCTATCACTATGCATGAGGCGGGGTACACCCTGGACTGGTGCACCACAAGGACACGAGAGACAGAGACAACAATTGACTTTCTCATTCACACTTAGGGACAATTTAGAGTTACCAATCAGCCTGCATGCATGTTTTTGGTCTGTGGGAGGAAACCGAAGTACCTGGAGAAAACCCACGCATGCATGGAGAGAACATGCAAACTCCACCCAGAAAGGCCCCAGGCCAGGATTTGCACCAGCAAACTTCTTGCTTTGAGGCAACAGTTCTACCAACTAAGCCACCGTGCTGCCCACAGACAAGCTAGTACAATACAAAAAAATGTTTATTTTTTACACTGAAACATTTAAACCAAAAACTATAGCTACTCAACAAATCAACACATAAACAGGTGTTGAAAATCTGTAGCTTTTACATTTTAAATACAGTAGTCCCTCACTACTTCGCTGTTTGTTTTTCGCGGACTCGCTCTATCGCGATTTTCCAAAAAAAGATTGGACATGACACACAATTGGCTGATTGATGGGTGAGCTGGATGATCAGCATGACATTTGTATTTAAAATACATTATCTTAAATTATTTAGCACCTGTGTGCAGCCCATAGCTGTGGGAGAATCTTCCTCCTGCAGCTGATCAGCTGATCTCCATGCAGAGAGGAGAAGTGGGCGTGGCTGAGAGTGCAGTGGAGGCAGAGAGCTTAAATCATGACATTATGTGCTCTTTTAGAGCGTTTACAGTTTAGAAACATTGTTTAGAATATTGCAAGAGTGTGGGAAGGCTTTAAAATGTATATATATATATATATATATATATAT